TACTCTTAGTAGAGTAAAAGTTTTAATGTCAACTGAAGTGGAGTAGTTTGAACTCTGGTTTTGGAGTGAAATATACTCTAATTTTTTTACTCCCCAAAAGGGAGTTATTTCAACTCTTACGGTGGAGTTAAAATTACTCCCTAGAATTAACAGTGTACTTATATTTGTTTACGATTATAGCTTTACATGTTAAAATAAGTAGTACTTCAATGAAATTTTTCTCAATGACAGTATAATTTTCTTAATACACTTATAACATGTAGTAATGGATATAATGCATAGTGTCTTATAACTTCTATAACTTTTGATTGACGGTAAATAATTTAAATAAGCAATGCAATAAAAATTTATTTAGCCACGGTAAAACCTTCAGGATACACTATTTTACAAGAAAAACATTAACTGGTTTACAAGATTGCCTTGCGTTACTATATATCAGGGCATTTTTTAAGAATTCATCAGTGGGGGGGGGGGGCATCTACAAAAAGGGACATACTATACCAAGTGTGGAGAAATGATAGATAGTTGTTGGCAACAAAACGTTTGGTGTGGTATCGCATTAAATAGTAGGGGAGGGGGTCTGGGGGTATTCTCCCCCAGAAAATGTTTGTATTTTTCTTCCCCTATGACTGCAATTACTGCATTTTCTGAAACAGATTTTTGGATATACAGCATTACATTATGCTGCAGATAGATTGAACCTTCAGTGAAGTACATGCAGGGGAGTGCTTGTCATATACAACACGGACGCCGTTTAAAACGGATAGAGCTATCCATGCAATATAAATCAAGTTAGTTTAGGTTTCCTCCTGCAGAAACACTGAATCAATATAAGAGATGACCTTTGCTAGACCGCTAAGGAAAACCGTTTAGATCTGAATTTTTTTTTAAACAAGTACAGGGTTAGTCTGGTTTTTGGCCTCAACTTATAATGTGTTTAACTCGACAGTAAGATGAAACGTGCTTTTAGCTTGGGCCATCTGTCCTTTCAAAACAAATGTCTCGCCCTGCTCTCGTTGTTTTCCAAAACCGCAAACAGTAATAACTTATAACGCGGGTTTTAATTATACATGTTGACAGAATGATATATACTTTACATAACTTTAGTATAAAACCTTTTTATATACTACGGCAAACTATAATTATTTAAAATCCGTTTGACATTGTAAGTTTTAAAATCCAAGCAGTATATGTCCACTGTCATTTTGATTTTTCAAACTTCAGAAGACCTTTTACATGAAGTATTATGCTGATCAATGTCACGTCCACAGAACAAACTATTTATATCTTTATTATATAGTGATGTTGGAGCTTCTGTAATTGTGGGGGACAAGGGCACAAGCAACCCAAAACTTGTGGGAAACGCTAGCTATTTCATGCATTTTAGATACGTTTTCCACAAATTTGGTATATTTTATATCATATAGATGAAAATATTTCTCTTAAGTGTTGAAAGAATTACAAAATTGATCCTGAAGAAAAGTGTGTGTGGGGGTGTGTGGGGGGGGGAGGTGGGCGGGGCGTGTCAGTCAATTGAAGAATAATGTTGAAGGATTTTGTAGATGGAAATTTCCAGTGTAAAACTGAAGTTTATTTCTCTAAATAAGTATACGTTTATAGCCTCATGGTTCTTAATTAGCCTTATCTTATTTGTTTAACTCGGCCGTAAAATGAAACGTGCTGTTATCTTGGGCCATCTGTCCCCTCAAAACAAATGTCTAGCCTTGCACTCGTGCTGTTTTCCGAAACTGCAAACCGTAATAACTACTAAAGCGGGTTTTAATTATACATGTTGACAGAATGATATGTACTTTACATATCTTTGGTATATAAGACTTATTTATATAATAGCTCATATCTGTAGTAAGGCATATGGAAACATATTTTAAGACTAAGGACGAATTTTATAATTGAAGAAATCTATAATTGAAACGAAATTATAACCCAGCGACTCATGGAGCAATGCATGGTGCAGTGTTACACTACTTCACGTTACACATCAAACGTGGCTAGCTCTGAATGGGGGAGGGATGAATATAGGTGTATGTATATCGCCATACGCCCAAACTTGAAGCAAAATCCACCGATTCGATCCACCAAAAACTCTTCCATGAAGTCATCATCCAGAATCCGAACTAAATTGCAAGTAAAATCAATCTGAGAGTTGAACTCTGGACCCATGGGTTACTAGACCAGTGCTCTAACCCCTGAGCTAAAAAGGCATATCCGTTCAGTAAATCTTTTCCAAATGTTATGAAAACGTGGAATTTTCTATTGATGTTTTTGCTAACTATGCAAATTTGTTCCACCGCAATATATTGTTTTTAGTTCAACAACTCTTTGGAGGTGTTCACAGCGCTCCTTTGCCCAGCAGCTCCGCTCGTACCCGAAGATTCGCCATGTAAAGTGTAGTGAAATGTATCTCAATACTAATCGTAATCATACCCAACAGAAGCCTCCGCGGAGTAGAGAGGTGGATGGCGGATAATCATTTCTCGTGTCCAAATTAGATAACATTTGCAAGAGATGGAAATTCCCGATTCTCATTGTTTGATTTTAAAAACAAGCATCTTCTAATTTTACGATGACTGTTTTTTCAGGGGAAAATAAATTTGCCACCGAAACCATACATTTTTTTATTTCATTCTCAAAATATTACTTACAGCTACGGCCCCATCACAGCATTCAACTCCGGACCCCTGGTTTACAAGACCAGTGCTCTAACCACTGAGCTAACAAGGCATCTGCCCACAATTGACTTTGAATTCTTGGTGTTTGTATTTTGTTAGCCAAATTATCTTGAACTAAAAAGAGTGTTATAGTAAAAAATTGGAATACAAGCGAGCCAATATGAAATATGATCGTGGAAAATATGCCGCAGGAAATGGTATTGAAGTTTAACATAGATCATATCTGTAGTAATTGCCTTCCCGACACATTACTCATACATCTTCGTTTATTATTTGGGTGCTAAATGATTACCACTTTAAGCCAGAACTTCATTGTACTTATATTTCGAAAGAACCTGCTTAATTTTAAATTAACGAAGTGGCTATTCGTACTTGAATATGGCACCCGATTCTTACATTACGTAAAGTAGCAATATAAAATAGTTTTTTTGCAACCGCTTATAGCGAGCTTGCTGCTAGCGCAATCGGCAAAGGCGTTGTGTGCGTGCAAAGTGAAACGAGGTCAGGTCCGGGTTTAGTTTTTGCTAGCCCGCGTGCAGGCCCAAGGGAACTGATAGTGGGCCTGCAAGCAAGGCCCGGTATTTTGTAAAACGTCCCTTTTCATAACACGCCCCATTCACGCGTCAATTGTCAGAAAAGAACCAATAACAGCACCCAAATATCAACCAACAAACAAACTCGCATTAAAATGTTGCGGGGTTTTCTCTGCTTATTCAGAACATAAACAATGTGTAAATGGCAGCGTTTTAACTCCAAAAAAGCAAGCAACGCAGTCAGTAATTGCCAAATTTGCAAGTGCTCATTTTCAACTATAATCGGAGCAGGCAAATTAGGACGAATTTCAACAGAAAACCAGTCTCAAACTTCAAATCGTGAGGGAAGTCGTGCGACTACATTAGCATTTATATTATGTGTGCTTCGCTGTCGCCATTGGCATTGGCATTGTTATAAATAAATTGTCTCATTTATCAGATCGTGTGTGCAATTTTGTTGGCGGCGGAAAGTACGAAATTTATTTTAGTTATTTCATTTGGTAAAGAACTCTACAAAAGAAGAGAGCGTTCAGAGTCCAGATCGTTTCGTGTCAAACGGCAACTAAATACTGTCTTCTGTTTCGCTCTCTCAGCGAAGCCTTGTAAATCGCAAAGTGTTTCGAATAGGCTTACATGCAACTGCATCTCAACATCAACAAAAAGATAATTTTCTTGAGGAACATATAACGTATCAAGTCTGTTTGAAATTAATGAAACTTAAGTAAAGGTTACTATATAGTTTACCCCAGTCGTAATGTTGCTATTCCAACACCTCACGACAAGCAATCCCCATTGGCAGAACGGCAAAAACATCTCTTCCTTCAAGTAAACAGTAAACAGTCTGTTCTTGTTCCATTTATAATCGAAAAAAGTGATCAATTTTCGAATTTTGAGCTTATCGAGAGCCTTTGTGATGAATCACTGACCTAATTATATAATCCAACAGCAAACAGCCAATCAGAATGCCGCGTTTGTGGGCGAACGCGGAAAGTACAAATTATCGGGCCTTGCTTGCAGTCCCACTATCAGTTCCCTTGGGCCTGCACGCGGGCTAAGTTTTTGCCGTCGGTTTTCTGTTGACTTAGAAATTTTTCTTAAAATATTTTTAATTTTTTCCCCCCACTTTTTCAACTCTCAAATAGTTAATTAGACCTTTATTGGTTAGGGTTAGGGTTAGGGTTAGGGTTAGGGAAGGGCTTGGGGTTGGGGTCAGCTTTATCTTAAATATTACGACTGCAGTACGAATAGCAAATCAAAGGCGGCGTACTGTTCCAGTACGAATAGCCACGCTTTTGATGAATTTTGAACAGTACTCCACGAAAATAGCTTAAATTCGTTGGTATTTTAGAATTTCTTGGTATTCTGCACTAACCTTATTCGAGCACGAAATATGGCAGGACAAGCGTCACTTCAAACTTTTTCACCTTCGCACTTTTCACTCAAACAGTAAAACTATAGTTCTAAACAGTACACACGCAGAATTGCGTACTGAATGTTGTCACACAGACTCTCACTATCTCCTCTCTCAATTTCAATTTCATAGCTGGGCTGAGAACCGGTCTAAAAATAGCTGGTAAATGGGATGATATAAAGAACATTTGGGCCGGGAGGTTGACATGGAGGGGTAGGGCTTGAAAACAAAACTTTCAGCCCCATCAATGTATAGTTGAATTTTTTTGCAACTGCTCTACGCACACATTACATTCTACAGTTTTAGTCGTCCGAACTGCTACCCTCTTAAAGAATATTTAAAAGACTAAGTTAATTTCGACAAATATTTGTAGCTAATATTGTAAAATTGTAATCAAATTATACTTAACTAAAAATAACATTTTTTTCTTATAGGCATTTTCTTAATACTATAACTGTATATTATCGAATTCTTAGATTATATTAAACCCGGCCAACATTACTGTTTCTCATTTTTCAAAGCTTAAAAGTACACGTCTCTCATGTCCAACCAGTGCATTTTATGTTTTTCCAAGCTTTGATATTCATGTTATTCAAATTAATATAATCTATACAATTATGATATAAACGTTGGGGAAATTAAGTTATGATTTTATTATTTACAAAATTATTTCACGTAAATTTCGATACAAAAACAATCCACAAACTAAGTCGTGACAATGTTTAAGTAAATAACAGAATAATCAAGAATAAAGCCTCGTACAGCAGAACAAGTTTTCCTTGGCAAGTTTTATTTGTTCGTGTAAACGGGAAAAATCCAAAGCAAGTTTTCCTTGGCAAGCGGCCTTGTTCAAAATGTAGTCATGTCAGCTTCTGAACAAGAAAAATTGTTCGTGTGTACGGCCGTCAGAGAAAACTTGTCAAGTAATTGCGCAGTACGTTACTGCGCACTCATCTTCAAGCGCCCATTGCCATTTAAAGTCGTTTTGATATTCACCTTTAAAGTGTGGAACGTAGACAGTTTCAGCTGTTTTTAGATTGTTTACGTACTTAAATAGCGCGGGCTGGCAAAACTTGTTAAAAAATCGATTGAAAACACGTGCATGGTCGTCGTAAACTCGACAAGGTCCGGAAAACTTGCCCGCCTGTACGGAGCTTAAAAATACAAGTTTTGACCCATTTGAAAGAACTTTATATATTAAATGCAAATGCAAAACCTTTTACAATTTTTTCGTTCGTTATGCCTTCATTTTTAGCACCTAACATGTATTTTTGACATGCATGTCATGTAACCCTATTAGGATATAACAACTCGAAAAACAAACTGCTTCGTACGTTAAGTGATGAGTCAGTGGTTTTCAAAATACAATTTTCATGTTTCGTTTTTCTGAACAGCGACCACTACTAAAAATATGAAACTTCCGAAACTTCAGGACCTTAATCAATATGTTTCTTCGTATAGAATATAAAATTTCTTCAAAGCCGAGTCCACGTTACACATTGCGATTTGTGTGGCTGATTTAAGACCACTCTACACTCCACAAAAATGTTTGAAAATATTTGTCATTAAATAAGATCATCCTGAAATTGCCCCAAAAATCGCAGAGTAAAATGAGCTCAGAACAATGATGAAATATTGAAAAAAGTCTAGCATCGTAATTATTACAAAAGCATTGTTGTACGTATCTTTCAAATGGCAAACATGTTGTTCTTATTTTACACAGTTTTCACTGTCGTTGCAACAGAAGTGTTGATAAAATATTGCAACAATTCAATACCTAACATTGATCAATTCATTTGATCAAAAATTGTTCACCTTCCTGTTTACTGGCATGCTTGTTCCTAATTGGTCAATCAGTCACCGAAACGCAAAGCACACAGGAAGTTGATCAATTTTTCAACGAATGAATTGATCAATTCTAAGTAATGAATTGATGCGACATTTTATCAATACTTCCATTGCAACGACAGTAATGCTGTATATATTGGATGAAATAGAGATGCGACAAAACAATGTGGTCACCAAACCCGATCGCATTTACGCAACTCTTCAGAAAATGAGCCTTATAAGGTGAGAGTAATAAGATGCAGTAAAAAAGCAAAAACATCATCTTAATTCCCTATCCATTTATCTCTCGTAAATGCCAGCAAGGTTAGTGTTATCTCTTATCTAAAGTCATATTTTATATTTAAATCTTATATGCAAGGACGCTGGAACAAGGCAAGGATTTCTCCAATTCGGCAATATTTCAATGAAAGAAATATTTGTTATAATCTCAAACGTCATTACATTCAGACATATCAGTCTCTAGGACAATATAAATTGAGATGAAAAAATACTCTATACAAAAACTTGGTTTTATAGCAAATTGTAGTCATAATTCAAAATTATAGAAAAAAATTAGAACCGCACATCTTTCTAGTATATTTTGACTTCATGTCTGAAACATTTCCACACGGCACACTTGTGCTAACTTGACGAATGATATCATGATATGCATGCATCTCACGATCGGTCGGACCATTCTTAGATTCGACTCGACGTCTCCCCTTTATGAGGGTGTTGATGGGGTATATCGTGAGTCGTGATTCACTCAATTTCGGTTATACCGTTAGTCGTGAAAATATACTGTTTATCGTTTCAGAACACTTTTCAAAGACTTACCGTTAAAATACGAAAATGTTACTTATTGTTGCTGTTAAAATACGAAAATGTTTACCGTTTACCCCCCCCCCCCCCCCCCCAACTAGACCCTCTTTTATTGTTCCAGCCTCCCTGAGTATACTGTAAGTAAAGTAATGCAGTGCATGGAAAACTTTAAAGAAACTTATAGTCATACGATATAAAAATATGTATCATAAAATATAGTCATACGATATAAAATTATAATACTAAAATACGCTAATCTTGGAAATATGCTTGCACTAAACGACTGATATATTAATAATTGATTTCGTGCGTAATTTAATCATGCATTAGAGATTTTCAGTGGCGAGCCAGCCATAGCAACTGGTAATTTGCTTTAACCTATTTAGATGCAGGTTTAATAGCACTGCATGACCACTAGCCCTGGCTATAGCTTCGCATCATATATATTCTTTATCAACCATACTTGATTAAATTATTCGAAATTAACATGCATGGTTTTACATGCAGCACGAAAATTTCCTGCAAATTGTATTTCGTTTTCAATTTTAGGTTACCAAAATACCACGGTTTGAGAAGCTCTTGAATAATTCAGTGAATCTCTTGCTCATATTACTGGAGCAAATGACACCAAACTACAACTCGTAGCGAACTGTAGATAGGATTCTGGCATTGCATGTTCAAATCTCGGCTAAGTGGGATGACAAATTTCAACATAAACGCCGTTTTCAAGGCTTGGCTGAAATGAGCATGTATTTAAAGAGCTTTGTTTAAAAATTTAAAAATTCAAAAATTATCTTGATTTTCTTTCCAGGTCCTGCCTAAAAGTCATTATTTTGTCATATATAATTGCTCCCGCCTAACCTATAACTCCTGCCTAACCGAGACATTACCAATTGTTATTCTAACATTTATTGCAGGAAATCCAATTATTTATTGCCACAATTTATTGCAGGAAATAATTAGACCTCTGGCTGCCATTTTCAAAATTTGTTGATAAGATTATATAAAGGTAATATAGCAAAAAAAACATGAATTTTCTAACTCTTTTGCCTACAACAGTTACGTTAGCGAGATCATCATCCTCGTCTCACCCCAGACATCCAGTCTCATTTTTCGTATAAAAAAGGTTAATTCAATTTTCAAGTCAATTTTGACATAATGAAGGAGGAAAAAACTTCAATACCCTCGTCCCGTCCGCTTTTAAAATCAAAAATCTTCTTCCACTATGCTCGAAACGTGTAAGCTGGAAACAGTTTTAACCTCACAACGAGTAATTCTAGAATTACGAAGTAAATCAGTTAAGCACACAATGGCAAACTTTTCCGGTCAATGTTCCTCCGCATGTGATATAGAAGAATAAAAGTTCAATTTGGAATAAGAATGCTTGCCGAAATTGAAAGTTGTAACGTAGTTTACTTAAAGTCAAACACTACCTAAGTTGGGGCTAGCGGTGTGAGAGAATGGCGTCAGATTCCTCATTAGGCGAAAGAAGGCGTCAGATTCCTCGTTGCCTGAAATGTAAAGTGAACCATACAGCACAGTCTGCATGATCGAGTTACTGGAGAATTAGTACGCTGAACACCCTCCCTAGCCTTTGTCAAAAGTGTGTGTGTGTGGGCGGGGGGGTAATTTCCGTATCAATTACATTTTTAGATTTGAAAAAGCACTTGCAAAAATAGAAAAAGATGAGACAGTGACATGATTGTGAAATGCAAGACCAGAAACTAGTGCTTTGGCAGCTTTCCTGCCATAAATCGCCATAACAAATGCAATCATGTACGAATATGAACAAAGTGTAGCAATGAGCTTGAATGAACAATCGACTGCATGTCTCACAATACGCTGTTAATAGTCTAGACATTGATGTTTACGATTTTACTTGGTATGACAATTATGTGGCAATTAACGTAGACCTATAAGAGCTCTGATATATGCAATATAGCTTATTTCTGTCTTGGAGTGGTTTTCTCCCAGAACTTTTGAATGCATCTTGTACGCCAAGCGCAAGTTACTCACTTCCAAAGTTTTGTTTTTCATTTTTTGGGCGACTTTGGCCACATCGACATATACTCCAGCTTCAGGTATGCTTCCCTCAAGAAAACGACCTTTAATGACAGACAACGCCTCATAAAACGACGTAAGCGCATCTTTGTAAGATCCAACATGGAAATAAGCTATTGCAATCGCACTATGACAAACAAATTCGTCGAATTTATCACAAGATTCATGAGAAATTTTCGGAAGCCACAGAAGTGCGTGTTTGAGGAAATCAATTGCTGTTATATATTCCCGCATTTTGTTTTGAATGCAGCCCTTCCACGCATAACATCGAAAGATCCAAACATCTTGGCTTCCTTCAGGAAGTGATTCCGCTATTTGGGTAGCTCTGTCAATTACCTTTCTCGCCAATTTAAACTTTCCAATATTATTTAAAGCTTTAACCATTGAGATGTGGTATAAAACGGTCAACTCTCGAATATCAAGAGTGCTTCTCAGTGTGACCTGTAACTCAATATCAAGAGCTTCTTGAAGAAACGCTAGACCAGCTTTATACTTTCCGGACTCAACCTGATTTGAACCTAATGTCAAAAACAGTATAGGTAATAACGGTCTACGACTTTCTCTGATTAATGATAAACTACTTTGCAACAATTCCATGTACAAGTTTTCATCTACGTTCAAATCCATAAGATGCATACAAATTAAACTTTGTATAAATGCACGTTCTTCATCGCAATCCGTGCTCACTTCAAGTGCAGTTTTAAAATATTTTATACTTTCAATGTTATTGCCAAGCGCGTTATGCACGTGTCCAACACTACAGTAACATAGAACTACCTTTATACACCCGTGGGGGCTTGGTCTCTCCGCATACAGTTTTTTCCTTATTTGCAAAGCCTGTTCAAGTGTTGCAAGACCAGAAGATAAATCATTGAAACAGAATTGCGATTGCCCTAGCAAAGCTAAGATTTGAGCGATTTCTTCAGTACTTTCATCGTACAATTTCCTTTTTATTCTAAGTGCTTCATCAAAAGATGCAACAGCAGACTCAAAATTTTTTAGGCATTCATACGCTTGTCCTTTCCCGATATAAACCTCGGCCAGATCAGTAACACTGCTGCTGCTGCTCCCACCATGAGTGGCTGTCATAATTTCAAGAGCCTGATCAAATGCATTAAGAGAAGAAATATAGTTCTCAGCATGATTCTCAGCCAAGTCCATATTAAGATAACACACTGCGGTATTCCAATGTTGTTTACCATACTGTTTAAGTGAAAGATCAAGTGCATTACGACATTTGTCAACACATACAGATTGTATTGCTTCATTAGCGATTTGAAAATTATAGCAATTGAGCAATCGCGCAGAAAACCAACTCACAGACATCTCAGACCTAATCGGAAATGTTCCATCTATCGAGGAACAATCATCATCAAACTTCACTGCTTTTTTTAAAAACGTGATCTTTTCATCCAGAAGAACTTCCTGTCCTACACGAACACCAAGAATAGCTAAAAGACAATCACCGTAAGACAATATTCGAAATAAATATTGGGAAGCGTTGTATGCCTTATTTTCTAGCTGTTGCTCTAATTGATCAACACAATTTAAAAAGTACAGTTGTGTCTCATCACTTAAAAATTGTTTTGACCACCTAGTCAACATATAGACAAACAGTATTATTTGCTCTCGTTCATTTTCCCTTTGCATCATAGATAGAGTTTCATCACAATCACCAATTAAAAAGAGATTGTAATTACCAATTTCTTTACAAACCTCGATGGCCTCTCTACTGAACTTGCTCGATTTGCTGCACTCTTTTAAATCAGTATAAAAAAGAGCAAGGAGTTGCAGGCATAAACATTTTATAAGTTGTTGATCAGCGTAATTTTGTAAACCATCGACATGTTTTTCAATACATTCAATACCTGACTTTATATTTCCTTTGGAAATAAGTGAAATTCCTTCATAACAACCTAATTTTGCACCACTACCATCCGATAACAACATGATGTCTTCGCGTATATCTTCAGGTATTTCTAAATATTCAGACGAGAACGACAGTGAAAAGCCAATACTTTGAAAATACTTGCTGACATGCAACTTTGAGTAAGCGTCATTGTATTGCTGTGTTCTGCATTTTTCTATAGCAAAATCATATAATTTGGGGATACCTAGCGATTCAACGGAGGGTAAACCAATAAGGAAAAGAAATATTTCAGACTTGGATAAGATGCGAAAAAGATCTTGCCAATTTTCCAAACCACATGTGCTTGTCGTAAAATAATGAATGGCAATCGACAGATGCTCCATTGCGTCGTGCAGTTGGGGAATGTCCACCGACTTCCCAGAAAGAAAATAGTCATTAATCCTTTCAAAAAGAAGAAAGTAATACCTACAAATGAGAATTCTAGAGGATTCAAAGACATTCTTAAATTCGCTTTGCTTTGCTTTATCTACAACAAAAGAATGGATGAGAGGGTGAATAGAGTAATATTCTCCACAGGGATCTTCATCAATTAATGATTTATTCACAAGTGTTTTAAGGCTCCCTACAGCTTTCACAACTCCAATTTCATCAGAAATAACGTCAACTGCAGCATCTTTACTTATTCTGCCAGAAGAAAACACAGTTAACGAAATCAGCGTATGCTTGTCACTTAACGTCAGCTGCTCAAAAGGAGTCTCGAATAACCTTTTCATGTTTTGCTCGTACGACCTGCCTATCTCTAAAAGATTTCCAGGAAGGCTTAATTCTTCAAGAAGTTTATTCGCCATATCTTCATTATTGTTTTCAACTACCGAAGCAACAAGTTTCATAGCCAGAGGAACATTGGAAGAAATCCCAGTCACATTTGCAACAACACTTTCAGAAAATGAAGGTAGAAGTTGACGAACAAATTCAACAGACGAAACTGGATGAAGGGGTCGAATTCGGATGTCTCGAAAACATTCTATTAGATCGCGCATATTTTCTAAAAGCTCCCTTGTTGTAAAAACTACATTAACGAAAACATTACTGTCTAACAATTGTCCAAATAAACCCGTAAGTTTAACGGAACTGCTTTCACTCGACAAAAGATCATCAAGATTATCAAATATAAGAAAAATTCGAGACGAAATTTCTCTTAGAATACTTACTAGCTTGTCAATAGGTGTTAAACTAAGATCTGCTAAATTAGTCTTAAAAATACTTAAAATTTTAGATAAAAATTCATCTGCTTTTCTAATACCCTGCAATTTAAAAAAATACACAGGGCACTTGAGAGACAAAAGATGGCGTGCTACTTCAATAGCTGTGGATGTTTTACCAAATCCAGGAGATCCCCAGATGTTTAGCAGTCGTGTTGATTGACCAGTTATAAGGTTTGTAATTTCTTCAATTTCATCTTCTCGGCCAGTAAACAAGGGAACAGCGCTCGGAACATATGGCTTGGGTAATGTTTCCATAGGTTTAATAATATGCTATTAATTAATTAAACTTATTTTTATGTAGTTATTAAAATACGAGATTCTAACTTAAATGAAAAGGATTGTGTTATAGTTAGCTCACTTTGTTCCACGTAACTAAGTTACTTTTGAAGGCCAAACACACATGTATATTGTTGGTTTTTTTACAATTTTCAATTGCCTCGCTAGCCTTAAACAAACGTTTACCACAGCATGTATAGTACCAGAGACTTGTAACATTGACATCTCTTATTCCAGGCAAAACTATCAGACCAATAGTGAAGTGTTAACAAGACCATCATTACTGGTCGGAAAAAAGCGCCAAACATCTCCAGGGTCCTTAACTGGTTTCTAACTTTGAATTTTAGATTCATGTAAATGCTTTAGTCTTAATAATACTTCAATAGTCGTATTAATTATTTAAATGTTTAAATCTGTTTCCGCATGCACTCTTGCGCGTTTTTGTACAAATAATAGCGAGCTTATAAGCATGTAGGACGGAAACTCCACTGGGACTTTAATTATTTCTTTTCATTGACTTATTGTATTGGTTGCCGTCGCCGTCGTGTTGCCGTCCTACATGCTTAAGCTCTCTGATGAAAAAATGACAAATTTGATAATCCCGACTACGCGGCAAGACACACGCTTACAGTCAAACATATTTGCGAAAATGAACAAAATGAGCTATTACACGACACTATGCTTTCCACTGTAAAATATTTTCACGTTACCTGGTACAGTTGCCTTTTCTACCAAATTTATATTTTTCACCATTGAATGAATTTCATCTGTTCGTACGCCAATAGAGGACAATTTCTGCTCCACATTCTCATGAAACACACTGTTGGCTTGCAACTCCTTCACATGACATTCATGTAATTCTTGAACTCTCTCCGTAGGGAAATCATCCTCGCTCATTTGACCAATAGTATCCACAAAAGCGGTATCAATATTAACTGCTGTTAATGCGTTCGTTACTAGCTGAACATAGTTGTCAAAATCAGTTTTGACTATTTCAGTGGGTGAAATATTTTTTGGGTGAATGACAAGGTGTGTTTCTCAATAATCGAAGTTGGTCAATTGCCAAGGCGTAAGTCTCATCTTGATTTCTTGTTGAGCTCTGGACTGATGGATGAAAAGAACCAGGAGGTGGTTTAACTTTCTTCAAATAAAAATCATTCAAAGTTGATCCCTTGCTGCCTGGAACACCAAATGCTTTGGCATAGATTGTTGCTTTAAACAAAACTGTGCAGTCCCACTCCTCAATTGATTTCGTAGTTGGTATATCTGTTTTACCACCTTCAGATTTAAGAATCATTTTCCGTACCGTGATACTGTCATCCAATGGAATGAATCCTGGTCTTACAGCAACCTTGCTGTCCCACATGGTGATAAAAATTTGACGCAACACCTTGGGAAACTCATCAAGAACAAGCGTAGAAAACTTGAAGAAATTCAATTGTTCTTTGGAAAATGGTTTTACTGCCATCGTGGTGCAAAATCTAGACCATTTAATTTTTCTGTACCAACTATCTACAAAAGCGACAAAAATAGAAAAAATAATTTATTAGAGTGGCCATACCGCTCATAATGCAATTTTACACCCAATTCACACTAAAATATAAACTAGCACAGTAACCCAATCAGAACATCAGTTATTTGAATAACTAAATTATATAAGTTCTCGACGATTAAGAGATGCCTGCGGAGGAGGCTAAGGTATATCCAGGATCTAGCATTTTAGATTTTGGGAGTTTTTTTCTAAATTTCGGTGGGTGTGTAGTTGCCAATTACCCAGAATAGTCAAATGCACGAAACTAGTATACTGTATGCCCGCCAACAATATGTACAGTAGACTATGCATGTGGTTGTTCTATGCTTAATAATATACCTAAAGATATTACTCGACTGTGATTGGTTGATTTCAGTGCAGTTAATCCCAAACAGCAGTGCAATTTTCTGTAATCACAGTGCAATTTTTTGTAATCACAGTGCAATTTTCTGTAATCACAGTGCAATTTTCTGTAATCACAGTGCAAAAATCTGTTAGCGTTTCAAGCTGTTAGCGTTGTATAATGTGATATAACAAAACCAGGAAAACTTTGCCGGTGGAATGTTCGCTATATATAAACGCGTAAGTTAAAACTACAATTGTCTCGAACATTTTTATGTAAATTATTAATAAGTAATAGCATGGTTTCTCGTAAAATTTGGATAAACATGCACTCGTGAGTTTTTCAAAGACCTCAAATAGCACTCGGACTCGTGTTATTTTGAGGTCTTTGAAAATCTCACTCGTGCATGTTATATCCAAATTGCACTCGAAATCATGCTATTACCTATACTTACAACCAAATACAAGGCGAGCATACGCCCACATTACGCACTGACATCACAGCAAGTTACTTTGCAACTATTGAAAACCTTTTAACACCAAACCAGCGGCGTAACGGAGGAAGAGGGGGCCTTTAGGCATACTTAGTGTGGGGCCGGTCCCTGTTGGCTGTTGTCGATGTTTGACTGAGATATTATATTCATATTGAATATTTATAGAATGTTTTGGAAAATTTCGTGTCTATAACAATAACAGTCTCCAACACATGTAACAATTACTAATAAGAATAACTCTTGTTTTATTTGAGTTGGAATAAAAAATCAGCTACCGTTGTCGATGGAGGCTTTATTATTTAGCATTACTAATTTCGCATTTTCCCATTGATACTTAACCTGCATTTTTACGTTTTCTAAGTTTCTGGGGGATAGGCCGTGGCTGATGGGGGCCCCTGACTTCCGGGGCCCATAGTTTTAGAACTAACCCTACCCAACGAGCGTTACGCCACGGCACTAAACGGTAATCCCATTACCTATATCTCTCTGTCACGAATTCTGAATACTTTAATTATATTAATTAATTCCATTAATAGATGCGTCCGTGAACAACATTTAATAAAATTTAATAGAATCATATATGAAATTGTTATTGTGTTTTGATTGACAAGTTGAGATATGGGAATGGCGATATATGAGAAAGTCTAAGAGAGACAGGAAAAGTTTAGCGAAATATATTTCTGTTATATTTTTGTTGTTTTGCTCGAGACCGATTATATTATTTAATTAAGAAATTTGTAACAATGCATGAGGGGCTCAGGTGTGAAACAGGTCAGACGAGAGCGAATAATGGAGAAGTGGATTCAGTTAGGGAATGAAGAGTTTGAAGCAACTTGAAGTGCAACAAGCGGTCAATACAGACGGTGGTGTTATAGTGAGCTTAATTAAATCAGGACTCGCCGCAACGAAGTTGCTTCAGTTTATTGACGGTGAGGACAATTTGGATAGGTATTTATAAAGGTTTGAGCGCTTCGCGAAAAGCACCAAATGGAACGTGTCGAATTGGGCGACGTCGTTGGGTGTTTTCTTGACATGTAAGGCGCTAAAGGTTCACTCTAGGATGTCAGAAACAGCCGCAGTAGATTATATAGAGTTGAAAGAAACCTGGTTAATTAATTAAAGAGTACAACCTGACAGAGAATGAATTTCGAGTACGATTTAGGAGTAGCAAAAAACATGAGCCAACATTTGCAACAATACATTTTAATCTTTATTTAGCCTGATGCAAGAATAAAAATATTCCAATCAACGCCGAAATTGTCTAACTACATTGGCTACAAGTATCAGCAGAGAAACTTTTTAACGAACATTGTAGCCCACCAAAGGTGAGGCATAGAACTAAGTAACCATTTTAAATTACTGCCCACACCCTTCGGCCCACACAGGCACACTTGTACATTAAATTATAAAATTTAATATAAATATAAATAATTAAACTATTAAAGTAGCTAAAATGATTGTGCAATGTAGACGGCTTATCAATGTATAGAATTTGTAGTGACCATAAAATTAAAAATATATAATATAATAGAAATCCTGAATAATTATTAATTTCATATTTTTTTCAACATTTTGAATAGTAATCATGTATATTTATAAATTAGTCTGCATTATTTATTTATTTTGCATTGTCTCTATTGGCCCTACAGTACTATACCTGTGTCACTTTTGTAAATATCCCAATGACGAAGTGTGTCGTTCTCTTGTTTCAAACCAGTCATTCAGGTCATTCAGTTTTCATTAGATATCAGTTCAGGAACATACAAGTATAGCTATAAAGGGTAAACAGATAATTAGTGCACAGATATAGGAAGGGTCAAAGCCCCCATGGTGCCCCTTTCACTAAACCATCCCCCCAACCCCTTTTCTAGTTGCCCCCGCCCCCTACTGACAAATTCGTAAGAAAGGCCCTGGACCGATACAGCAAATATTCTATTCATCCCTCGCCCATTCTGAAAAGAAAATCTTCACAATGAGAATGGTGAGCATACAAATACAATACCGACGTCCATACGTTCGCTCACGGGCAATAGGACTAGTGCACTGCTGTTAAACAGTGTAATTATACTTACTCATAAGATATTTGAATGTTCAAAAGATCGGAATGTTCGAAACGTCTTGTTTCGGTACGTGAATAGTCCCATAATCTTCAAAATATTTCAAAAACTATTAGCACTATTTACGTACCGAAACAAGACGTTTCAATCACTTCAGATATCGTATTGCGACCATGAACCACGGGGCAATAGGACAGGTCCGTCAGGTGCGCAAATAGCAAAAGTGCAAATGCCCGGGGGTTGCCCGGGGGGGGGGGCAATGCTAGAATTGACTGATGCATTACATGTGGATGAAATTTTAGCTTTTTTATAAACCACTTCTGATATCGTATTGCGACCATGGACGGGGCAATAGGATAGGTCCGTCAGGTGCGCTGTTGTTAAATCAAAAGAAAGAATCAGATATATTATACTTACTCATAAAATATTTGAATTATTCAAAACGAGATTGAAAAATCGAACATTCTGATCTATTCAATCTCGTTTTGAATAATACAAATATTTTATGAGTAAGTATAATACGTCTGTTTCTTTCTTTTTATTTAACAACAGCGCACCTGACGGACCTGTCCTGTTGCCCCGTGGTCCATGGTGGCAATACGATATCAGAAGTGGTTTATAAAAAAGCTAAAGCTTCATCCACATATAACTGACTGAGAACTAAAATTTTGTGTTAAAAACACATTAGGCGTTAATTCCAGATTATTTCCAACTTCGCTAAAAGGAGTTATTTAAACCGCAGCTTATTTTCGCTCATATAAATAGCTATACTCCTACAGACACCAAATTTCCCTGGCTTATAGTCATAAGTCATGCAGTTTGCTAGCATTTCATGCACCAACATGGACTGATGCACAAAGCGAAAGCAAACACGAATTCTTAGAAACACAATACTGTCAATATTTAGTGCTTTATATAGCTATTGATTATCTGTTTAAAGCTGATCGCCCTCTCTACTCCTTGCCTGCTTTTGGCGTTGTTATTGTACATTTCTTCGCATACATCAGGCTTGACGAATTAATTTCAAGCGTGTCCGCACAGAACAACACTAGTGCGATGACGTATTAACTTGCACGCACTGTAATGACACAGCAGGAAGTGGTGAAATCACAATAAAACCTCGAATTAGTCGAATAAAACATGAATTTATTCACCTCTTACCTTTCAATGAACTTTTAGCGTCCAAGATATACACAAAGTTTACATAACGATTTAAAATTCTGCAATCTCGCCTGAGAACATACGCGTATTTAGACTGTGGAACGATAAATTCCTTTACAAACTATTTCATCATGTACAGTATATATGTCCATGTAAAATAAATCTGACCATCTGGCAACTTTATAACCACGCTATTGCGCAGTAATCAATAATCACGTTTTCAAACTGACATTGTTTTGTAACAATTAAAAGTCAGATATATTGAACCTTGATGTATACACAATATTTCTCTTAGAAAACTTAGATACAGCTTTCACTATCTCAAAGCAAATGACCGGCAGGCTCATGGAAGAAATACAGTATCATATTTCAGTTGGTCTGTTCCGGTGTCAAGCGAAATTCCTGCATGACCTCTGTGATCATTGACCAAGCGTGACGGGTCAGAAATTTCGCGCGTGCAGGCGCGAAATATATGACGCTTGCTAAATTCTAAGTCGGCCGAAACTGCATGTTTTTAGAGTTTATAGATAAATAATTATGATGTTAATTTCTAATACTTCATTAAATATTTCAAATCGACATCGCTAAGTTTCAATTTACAAACAGTTTAAACTTCAAAGCAGATTGTGTTGTCACGTGGCCGCGAATCTAATATATCCATATTATATTTGGACTGTAACAACAATTTGGTTTCATCCAGCAGTTAACATGGCACCATTCACATCCGTCAGAATTGCAAAACTATAGAAAAGAATAATTGGTAGCATGAGATGTTAGGCACCACAGAATAAGCAATTCCAGCTTTTAGTTTATGCGTGTAGAGGGGATGGGAAATAAGGTATCACCAATTGCTGATTATGCTGAAAAAATAAAAACACTTTGGCCGTGTAAACTTGGAGTGATAGCTTATACTAGAAAATATTGAAATATTTCGGTTGTTTCGGCAGTTTTTATTGACATTTTCAGGTCTTTCAGCATAATCAGCAATATGATACCTTACTTCCCATCACACCCTACATGCATAAATTAAAAGCTGGAATTGCCTATTGTGCTACAGTGGGCAGATCAGTGATATGTTTTGCATCAATAGGTTCTACCACAATGGGTATGGTTCAATGTTATTTTGTGCCTCAATGGGCTCTACCACAATGGACAGTCGAATGTTATTTTGTGCCTCAATGAGTCAATGGGCTCTATCACAATGGGTAGTCAAATGTTTTAATGGACTAGCGCTCTACCACAATCGGGGCAGATCGATGTTATTTTGTGCCTCCATGGGCTCGACCACAATGGGCAGATCAATGTTATGTTGTGCCTCAGTGGGTTCTGATTTTGGCCAGGAGTGCAAACTACAAAGTATAAACAAAGGTAAAACTACGTTTTCGTCGCCAAAACGTTTGGCTTGTTGTCTAATTTGTAGTTTGGGGAATGGGGATAGATTTTGAGTTCCTTGAAGGCACAAACTGTCAAAGCAAATGTGCAGTTACAAAACGGTGAAAATCGTGCAGCCTTGTAGTTGTAAAAACAAAGTAGTTTCGCGTAAATATAATTTACTCATAAAACATTTTCGCATGCTCTGAACGTAACTGTCTTCAGGGATGCCGGAAGTTGCTGGGGGCAAGGGGTGCAATTGGTTAACAAGAGGGCATATTCCTTAACAAAAGGGCACTAATGAAAATGAAAGGGCATCTAAAAATTATTTTTGGCGACCTCCCCCCCCCCCCCGTCGCCAAAAATTTTTTGGTCAGTGTACCATTTTAGGGGTAAAAAAAATTTTCCGGACATACCACAATTTTTCCTAAATACGAAAAAAATTTTCCGGACATACCGAAAATTTTTCCGGAAAATGTTATTTTTTCCGGAAATTAAAACATTTTTCCGGAAATAACATAGATTGAATTTTTCAAAAATGCCCTTTGCGCAAAAAATGCAATTTTTAATGAAAATTTTTCTCGCAAAAAGGGCACTTTGTGCACCCGTTGCACCCGTATTCTGCACCCGTAGTGCACCCGTAAAGTTGTGAAGACAAAAGGCAACGGGTGCAACTGCACCCGCTGCACCCGTGGTTCCGGCATCCCTGACTGTCTTGCTAATATCTTATAAGATTACAAAATGATAGTTCTTTCTTCGTCTGGTTTCGTTTTTCTTCAATGTAAACGAAGTGTTTTCAGTCATGTTCTTGGAACAAAGATATTTAGTTGTCCATAAACTGCATGTAAATTGCCTAAAAATAATCGTCGAAAACTATGTGGTTTCAAAAGCGTTGCCTCAAGCTCAAGCAACGTAGAGAAATATGAAAAGTAATTGTGTAAGTTTAAAAAGATTATTGAACTCCATTTATATTAGAACATGCCTATTGCGTTTGTATTGATCATTCGTGTTTAATTGTTTTGGCTTGCACAACAACGTAACATTGAAAATTTATTATGCATATATTCTGCATATATTCTGTTCAGAACTATTGCTTTTCGTAAAAGAGCCCACTGGAATGGGTTTTTAGACACTTTTTATTCTTTACAAAACTTTTTTCCATTTTCAGTCTCGATATAAAATTTTTTGCAAACTTTTCAGATGAAAAAACAATTCGCACTCCTGGCAACCGCGCGAAATTTCTTGTCTCAGGAGTCTGGGACCCTTTTCAATGCGCCATTTTGTGGAGACAAATTTTTTACTGAGAAAAGATAGGAGCACGCATTCTATGTCTATTATTTCTATGGCTCCACCACAATGGGTAGACTGTTATTATTTTGCCCTACCATGCACAATGGGTAGACTAGCTGTTATTGTTCTGTCGTACCACCATGGCTACACTGTTACTGTTTTGTCCTACCACCATGGGTAGTTCAATCTTATTTTGTGCAGCAAAGGGATCCACAGGTGTTGCAGTTGTTTTCGCATGCACTACAGCTGGCACATCACGTGTGTCGATCACAGAATCACATATCTAATATCTCGTAAAAAAAAAAATGCTCGTACAACTTGCAACACTGACAACTTTAGATAAAGTTACGTGCAGATACGAATTCGAGACCAGGTTCTAAGACAACAAAGCCATATATTATCCAGAGATTGGAAGTACATTTTGTCTCCTTGTATTAATAAAAAGACATTATTCAATGTTGTTTTGACTAATCGATCAGTGCCATGATTGGGATATTTGGGCAGTTAAAACTGCCGATATTAACTCATAAAAGCACATTGTTTGCCTCTAGAATCTAGATCAGTTGAACACTAAAAAGGTCAACGGTTACGCCTTGATGTATTTTAGAAGAAAGAAATAGAGCCATACTTACCTGAATTTTTCCGAATATTTTCGATCTCTTGAATCTGTATTTAAAAGCTTGAAAAATCTTGAGCACATGGAGATGCCTACGCAAGACAAAATCTTGTTTTGACCGCTCCCCTCATTTAACAAACGTTCCTGAAGCTTAATTATTCCTCCCAGATTAGGACAAACATCTTTACAGACAGACAGACAGACAGACAGACAGACAGACAGACAGACAGACAGACAGACAGA